ATCCATGAAAAAATAGTATTATTGAGTCCACTCAGGAAAATCTTAGAATTACTAGTTTGTCAAATTCATCTTTGTCTGCTGAAATTGATGATGTTAAAAATCTTTTGATCAAAGAACAAACTGTGCTTCACACTTGGGCAAAATCTCATAAGAATGCTAATTATATTATTTCAGCTCAAATTCCACATTCTTGTGAGAAAATTCTTGGGGGTAATTTGCAGAAGCTGAAAAGTTTTTAAATCACAAGAAAAGGAATCTAAGGTCTATTCCATGAATGTGATGAAAAACAATTTCAAAAATAAGTTTGTCAGTAACTCTTTTATTAATCAAAGTTTAATTGATGAATATTGCATTACTAATTCTGATGGTATCACTGAGTGTAATGTTGAAATTACCGGAATTGATCCTACCTCTTATCGTGCACATCTTGTTAGACCAATCCCTCTAACTGAGAATATTATTGCTTTTCCTATCTCAAATGGAGTGTTTCATGCTGTTCATGAACAACTCAAGCACTTCCCTGATTACAATCCATCTGTGAATGAGTCAGAATCAGATACTGATAGTTTATCACCTAACATTGATCAAACTCCTCCTGATACTGTATTCAGTCGTGACTCAATGATAAGAAAAAGGACTCAAAGCTCTCTTTGTGAATCTTACATGTCAAAATGTGTTAAATTAAAAAATTTGCTCACCAAGAAGAACTTTGGTACTAGAGTTTGTTACAGATGTGGTAATTCCTCTCACGATCAGTGAATGTTCTTTTGATAAATCATCCTCAAGAGCTGAAAATATTAAAGTTAGAAATGAAAAATGGACTCTTAAGTCAAACTCTTTAAACTGTCTTCCTAAGGAGTGTTATAATCTATTATCAAATAACTTTGTGAATGACCCATCTTTGAATGGGTCAGTGTGTTCTAACTAGTTTCTCAGTACTGCAGGGTCAGGAGCATCTTTTGGTTTAGATAGTGGTTGCTCAAGGCATATGACGGGATCAAAGTCTCTCCTGGAAGATTATGTTAAGAAAACTGGTCCTGCAGTTACTTATGGAGACAATGGAAAGGGGTTCACTAAGGGACATGGAAACATCAAATGCAATAACGTGGTTTTTCAAAACGTTTCATATGTAAAGGGTCTCAAACACAACCTCATTTCTATCAGTCAGTTGTGTGATGCTGACTATGAAGTTCACTTTACAAAGAAGGAAGGAAGAGTTGTAAACACTGACAAGAACATCGTACTCTCAGCAAGTAGAAAAGATGATATATATGTTCTTGACATGTTCTCAAGTGACAAGGCACTGATGCAATGTTTCTTTACAAAGTCTAAGACGAATCTTAGCTGGATTTGGCACAAAAGGTTTTCTCATCTGAACTTCAAGAATCTATCCAAGATATCCAATCAAGACCTAGTTAGAGGGCTCCCAAAATTCAGCGTTGTGAAAGACAAGATGTGCTCAGCTTGTGAACAAGGAAAACAAACCAAGTCCTCTTTCAAACCCAAGTCATGTTCCAGTATATCAGCCCCTCTTTATCTACTCCACATGGACCTGTTTGGACCTATTCTTGTTCGTTCACTAGGTGGAAATAAGTATACTCTAGTGGTCGTTGATGAGTTCACTCGATTTACTTGGGTAGTTTTCTTGAGAAGAAAAATTCATGCTGCACAAAATTATCTCACTGATTCGTAAAAATGAGACACTGACAGGTCTTAAAGTTAAGCAACTAAGAAGTGATCATGGTACTGAGTTCCGAAACTCAACTCTTGAAGAATTTTGTGACAATAAAGGAATTGGACAAAACTTCTCAGCTCCTCGTTCTCCTCAGCAAAATGGTGTTGCTGAACGAAGGAATAGAACACTGATTGAGGCAGGAAGAACCTTGATGATCCATGCTGGTCTTCCTATGTTGTTTTGGGCTGAAGCTGTCAATACAGCGTGTTTTACTCAGAATCGATCTCTAATTCACAAGATTCACAAGAAGACTCCATATGAAATGCTGAAAGATCGAAAACCAGATGTATCCTTTTTTCATGTGTTCGGATGCATTTGTTATATTCTAAATCAGCGTGACCCAAGATCCAAGTTTGAACCTAAGGCTGATAAAGGTATTTTTGTTGGGTACTCATCTATTTCAAAGGCTTTTCGTGTTTTTCATGTGAATAGGCAATGTGTTGAAGAATCCATTCATGTGAAGTTTGATGAGGAATCATACACTGATGAAAAAGTCACTCATTCTCCTTCTATCTTTCAAGAGCTTCTCTCTTGTCCAGTCGATGAAGCACCTTCTGCAGAAGATAAGACTGATTCCTTTGATCCTATCATTCCAGTTCCATGTTCCTTGAATCAAGATATTGCAGCCACATAAGCAGATAATTCATTAAGTGTTGATGAAACCCTTGAAGCTGAAGATTCTCCTGAAACTGATAATGTGTCAGTGTCTATCTCTCCGGAATCAGCATCAGTCATTGAACATCGAGATCATCCTGTTGATCGAATTATAGGGAATATTCATGATGGTGTCCGAACCAGATCTAGTGCACTTAATAACTTTTGCATGTATGTTAACTTTGTTTCAATGATCTTACCTAATAAAGTACACACAGCTCTTCAAGATGCTGATTGGATCAAAGCCATGCAAGAAGAACTGAATGAGTTTGAAAGGCACAAAGTTTGGACTCTTGTCCCAAGACCATCCGGGAAAACTATCACTGGAACTCGCTGGGTCTATCGTAACAAGGTTGATAAAGATGGAATTATCACTCGCAACAAGGCAAGGCTTGTAGCTCAAGGGTTTACTCAAATTGAATCCATCGACTACGGGGAAACTTTTGCTCCAGTTGCTCGCATTGAAGCTATCAGACTGTTTCTCGCATACGCATCCTACATGAACTTCATTGTCTATCAGATGGATGTGAAAACAGCATTCCTTCGTGGTGTGTTAGAAGAAGAAGTATTCCTAAATCAGCCCCCAGGCTTTGTGGACAAAGATCATCCTGATTACGTGTACCGGTTAGACAAAGTTGTTTATGGACTGAAACAAGCTCCCAGGGCTTGGTATGAGACGCTGACATCGTATCTGCTTGAAAATGGATACAGACGAGGAGCAATCGACAATACTCTCTTCATCAAAAACAAAGGCTCAAACATGGTTCTTGTTCAAATTTATGTAGATGACATCATTTTTGGCTCTCCAAATGAGACACTGAGCAAGGAATTTGCAGAGATCATGTCTCAAAGGTTCGAAATGAGCATGATGGGGAATATGACCTTTTTCTTAGGTCTTGAAGTTCAGCAACAAAAGACAGGTATTTCCATTTGTCAAAGTAAATATATATCTGACCTGCTTGTTAAGTATTCTCTCAGTGATTGCAAACCAGCCTCTACTCCAGTGTCTAAGACTGATAAGATACACGCTGATCCAACTGGAACTGATGTCAATCACTCTCTATATCGAGGAATGATTGGATCCCTCTTATATCTCACAGCAAGTCTTCCTGATATTATGTTTGGAACCATTCTCTGTGCTCGATTCCAAGCTAATCCAAAAGAATCTCACCTCATGGCTGTCCAACGTATTTTTCGATACTTGAAGGGAACTCAAAACCTTGCTCTGTGGTATCCTCGTGACTCAGCATTTGAACTTTATGGATACACTGACTCAGATTATGCTGGATGCAATTTAGACAAAAAGAGTACATCTGGTGGATGTCACTTCCTTGGCAATCGTCTCATCAGCTGGTCCAGCAAGAAACAAACATCAGTAGCCATCTCAACTGCAGAAGCTGAGTATGTTGCCACTGGGAGATGTTGTGCTCAGCTCTTATGGATTCAAAATCAGCTTCTCGACTATGGGTTCAAGTTCTCAAAGACTCCCATATATTGTGACAACACCAGTGCCATTCAGATCACACAAAATCCTGTTCAGCACTCAAAGACAAAGCATATTGAAATCAGACATCACTTCATCAGAGATAATGTTGAAAAAGGAAATCCCTAAGGGAAACCTTCCCCTTTAATAGGCCGAAGGTCTCGGAGTTGTTCTTGAACATGTCAAGACTTCGGAGCAACTTTCTGATATCTTCACAAAGGCACTGGATTCTCAATCAACTGCTTACATTATCGGAGAACTGGGAATGATTTCCTTGTAATTAATTTTGACGTTTAATTGTGCTAATGTTTGAGATTGTCTTATAAGCTGATGTACATTGTGCTGATGATGACATACTGATGATATTTGCTACTGAGCACTTTGGTTTGATTTCTTATCTTGATCTCTTCTTCAAGTCTTCTAAACAAAAGTTGAATGATTCACTGTATTAAAACATACACTGATAACGACTTGAAACTCTTTGCCGATGGATAGATCAAAACACCAAGATTTATCACACGCAACTACCCCTTCTCGCCAATCTTACACTGATTCTGTGATTCAGTGTGCCAAAACACACGCTGATGAGAGTCTAAAAATCTTTGTCGATGGTTAGACCAAAACACCAAGGTTTATCACACGTAACAATCCATTCTTTACCCTCCTCTTATTCAGTGTCTAATGATTCAGTAAGATAAACCACTCACTGATGAAGTCACAACACTCTGTGCCGAAGGTTAGATAATGTAACTAGTATCTATCACACGCACCAATCTCCTTGCTAGCCCCTATTAAGCAAGTTGTACCTTGAATTGACGGAGAAATATTCTCAGCACGTAACTTTTGTGACACTGAGCTCAGCGCTTCCGCAAACACTGATTGACGTTTCACCTTCAATCAACGGCTCTTTTATCCAACGGCTATTTTCTACTCTAACAGATTGTTACGATGCGTCGTTATTCTTAATGAAGATAATCATCACCTTTTTAATGAAGATAATTATTCCCCTTTTTAAAAAATAAAAACCCTTTTCATTCCATATTTAAACCTCTTTCTCCCTTGGTTTAATTTTTCCTTCCAAAACCTTGAACTTTTCTCAAAAACCCTAGAATTCTCAAATACTCTCCAATGGCGGCATCTCTGTTCACATACTCCTCAACCTCTCGAAGAGTCATTCCTGCCCCAAACTCTCCTCCACTTCCAATTCACATCAAGGCAACCAATGTCGTCTTCAACCCTGACATTCCAGAGGTTCATCGAGGTCTTGGACTCGATGATTTCGTCAATTTCTTGGCTTCTTGTCGCCTCCGATATGCAATCAGTGATGTACCGTCCGAGTTCTTCCCTGAACAAGTATGTGAGTTTTACTATACTGCAACAGTTAATGAAAAAAAACAATTCCATCACCAGAACCATTGGTCATGGCAGACACTCTGTCTTCATCACCGCAGAACTACTCAGTGCGGCTTTAAGGTTACCAATTTTCGAACCCTTTTCTGAACCTCCAACTATTGAAAGATGTAAATGAATATTTGATCAACTGGGCTATGATCATTCAAAGGCTGGTACTCGATCAGCTCTTATTTTGCGTCAGTGCATGACCCCAAGCTGGAAGTTTTTCACTGGTGCTTTATGCAAGTGTATGGGTCACAAGTCTCGCAATGGTGATCAATTGAGCAATTATGAGCAACAAGTCGTCTGCTCCCTTCTTCTCAACAAAAGATTAGATTATGGGGCACTATTCTTTGATCATCTTGTTCAGCTTCTATGTGCAAATGTGTGTGCTGATCATGTTCCCTTTCCACGCTGGATTGCCCTGGTGTTCGACAAATTCTTCACTGCTGACTACTTTTCTCACTCTGGGAATCCAATCCAATGCCCTCGAATGTCCGTTCGTATGTATCAGGATGATCCTTTGGATACTGACATTGGAATCTCCGATAGGATGAGAGAATGGATTGCCAATCCATACACTATGCCTTCTCTCACCGCTGACACTGATGAAGGAGGTGCTGATGGTAATCGTATGGATCATGCTGATCAAGAGGTGGAACATCATGATGGCAACCATTTCTCCTTTCAACTTTCTCATCACCTCATCTCGGCCACTGGCAAAGCCTCCTCAGCACCACAGGATTCCATACCTCTGGGGGGGCAACCATCACAGGGGGAGCATCAGTCTCAGGGGGAGCATTCATCACCAGCAGCTCACCACTTCTCTCCAAGGATGCAACCTAGCTCTCCAGTTGTCCCAGGTACCTCAATAGTTCAAATTCCCGCTTCAGCATTTTCTGAACTGATGTCACTGACTCAGGACATGAGTCAGCGTCTGCTTCGTATTGAGGCTGATGTTCAACAAATCAAGGAGGTTCTCTTACTTACTCCTCCCCCTAGTCCCAAATCTAATGATGTTCAAAAAGGGGGAGATACTGATGATGATGTTGATGCTGATGATCATGCTGATGGTGAACCAAATGCTCATGCTGATGGTGAACCAAATGAGAAAGACACAGAACCTGCTGACAACACTATCTTTCAGCATGAATCATCCAACCCCATTCCTGAATCTGATTCTGCGGGGCATAATAGTCCAGCAGCTACTGAAAAATTATTTGAAGACAGTGAGCATGATGAAGAGCATGATGAACCTGATGATGAATGTCAAATTCTTGACATGAACTTCATTGATCCTCTCATTCCAGTTCAGCAAGAAAGCTTAGATGACCTTGAAGAATCTCATCCGATATTAGCCGATCCTTGTGCTGATCCCATCATTCCGATCCAAGGAGAGGATTCGGACATTGCCAGTGAAGAATCTCATCCGCTGTCTCGAAAGCGGAAGGTAGCAGATACTGACTTGGATCATTCTCAAACTGATACTTCTTCACCTGTGAAGAAACCCAAGTCCATTGTCAGTATTTCAAACCTTGCCACTGAATGGAACATGTCCCCTGATCAAGTCAAGCAAATTCTTGATGAAGCCAATCGAGCTCAGCTTCTAAAGAACATTGCTCAAGCTGATGAATCTCTTATTCAGCACAAACTTCAGGCCAAGGGATCTTTTGAAGCTCAGATGCAGAAGTTCCTGGAATTTCAGTCCAAGGCTCAGTCTTCTCAACCTCCTCCTAGCTCTAGCAAGCCTAAGACTGACAGTGTTCTTGACCGGATTGATCGAAAGAGATTTGAAGATGTTTTTAATCGGCGAATGTGTGGAGATAAGATCATCAAAGTCAAAGCTTCTAAACCTCGAAACGAGAAAATCCTTACGTTGCTGATCACTCGTCAAGGTCCTCAGCACTCATATACTGAAGTTGTCAAGAGGGATGAGCTGATTAGATATGGGTATTCGGAATGGATGGAACTGCTCGATCTTGCATCCAAGCAAACCTCAGCTCACTCTTCAGAACTGACTTGTGCTCTTCATCTGCTGATTAAGAATGTTTAGCGTTTGGATCTTGTTCCTAAAGAACGACCTCAGCATCAAGGCCAAAGGTCGTCAATTCCTAGATCTCGAAGAACCAAGTTTCATGTTGATGGTGAAGATGTATTGGTTCTAGACTTTGGTGCTGGTGTAATTAACAATTCACTTCCTCTAGGTGTTGATCCGGTTCAGCATCAATTCATCTCAGCTCCTGAACACGGGATGTTCTATCTAGACAAAAACAGGAGGATGTGCTTTCAACGAACTACTGAGATCCCAAAGGCTCCAACCACTCACCTTGTTGGCTTAAGGAAAATGTGCATGAGTCATCAAGATCTATCCGGAGAATTTCACATTCTTATGGCCATGGAGCTGCTGAACAGAAGACAGGAATTGCTGGCTAGTTAAAATTGAAGCTGAAGCTGAGTATGAAGAATTTCTTTCCAGAGGTGTATTTATTTAGTTTGTTTTGAACATCATCATATTGGGGGAGATTGTAAGGTCAAACCTTACAGTTTATCATTTGATAGTTGGAATTTCCGGTGAGAGAGCGGTTAGAGATTTGCAGGATTTCGACATTCCGTGCAAGGTGAGTTATCCTCACTATACCAAGGGTCTAAGGCACCAAGGCCGACCCTTTGAATTGTTATTTGAGTAATTGTTGTTGTGATGTGTTAGTATGGTATTCTGCTATAATGGATGATTATATGCTAGTATGGTTAATTAGATTGACATCCTGGTAGAATGGATGTGGTTATGCTTAGTGACATGTAGCTGGTCGGACTGTCTATGTGATGGTAAGAGATTACTTGGGGTATGTGTGCATATTTGAATAGCTGTAGAGGGTATTCCATCCCAGAAGGATGATAGGGTCCCAGTATGTCGTTGCAGTAAACTGTTATGTGATTATTTGATAGATGCACATGTTTGCTAGTATTTGGGCATTCCAACCCAATGGTTGTGGGCCAGGAGTATTCCATCTCGGTAGGATGATTGGACTCACAGTATGTTGGCATTCCAACCCTATGGTTGTAGGCCTCGGGTATTCCATACGGAGAGATGATTGTACCCATAGTAGTTATTGTATGTATAGGTGTGTGGGCATTCTAACCCGATGGTTGTGGGTCGAGAGTATTCCATCCCGAGGATGGACTCGTAGTATGTTGGCATTCCAACCCAATGGTTAAGGGCCTAGGGTATTCCAACCCGGTGGTTGATTGGACCCATAATATGCTGTTTATTGATGTATGTGTATGGTTATTTGTGTATGGGTATTTTGGGGGGAACTCACTAAGCTTTCGAGCTTACGGTTTCAGTTTATTGTTTCAGGTACATCAGGTGATCATGGCAAGGCAAAGGCGTGATCGTACTGCTCCTCATATTTCATGATTTTGTGACGTGGTTTTAGGGATACTCTGATGTTTAGAAATGTTTTGAAAACAAGTTGTATTAACTTAATGATTTTTGGAATGGATTAAAATGTTTTAAATTGGTTGGAAATTTTTCGTCGTTACACTTTGAGATTCATTGAACTTGTCAATGACATGTTTAATCTCGATTATGGCCTTCAAGTTGGTAACTGGGGTGCCGATGATCACAAACAAGGTGTGAATAACCATGCAAATTAGCTTGGTACTCTCGATATTGCATCACCTAATCTATGTGCCCGCTAACCACACACGCTCCATTGATCCTTGATTAACACCAAGCTACCGTTTGCCACCCTTGCTAGTCCCAAATTAGTGTGCCGATTAACCACTCAGGCTCCACGAACGACTTAGCAAGGCGCAAAGTGCAATTTCATGGGTTATCACCAAATTCACATTTTTCATAAAGTAACTAAGATTGGAAATTTATATAATTTTAGTTACTTTATATTTCATTATACTTTTAATGAGGATTTAAATGTCCTGTCAAACCTGTTCAGCTAACGACCCTCCACTGGTCTAGAGTGCGGTGGCGGTGGGTAAGAGTGTATACCCAATGGTGGTCATTTTATAAACTGCTTCCTTAAACACCCTTATAGACCAGCTTTGTGAATGAGACCTACTAACGGAAAGACTGAATTTTAACTTATACATATATAATACACATTTGACTTTTAATTTTATATAGTATAAGGGTGTATTTTAACTTTTAAAATACTTGATGGTTCAATTTATTAATAAATTATACTCTTAATTTAATTAAACTTAAACCATATGATTATGGATTTAATAATAGTCTTTTAATTTAAACATTTAATTAACTATTAATAAATTTCATAAGAGTTAATTGAACTATTCAAAAACATCAGGATGCTAAATCAAATTAAAACTATTTAATTAATTATAAGTAATGAACTCATGAGTTACATTTTTGAAAACTTTTCAAATTTATACAGTTTCTATGAATTCAATGTTTCTTAATTGAGATTTTTCAACTTTTAAAACTTAAGGGCATGTTTTGGAATTCTTGAAAAACTTTTGAACTCCATAACTTAAGGAGTTAATTTGTTTTATAAAGATGAGACTTTTCAAGTTCCACAACTTATGGAACTCTTCAAAATCATTAAGATCAACATAACTAATATTTATTTGTGACTCTTTAGAAAAACTTTTAGGTTCCAAATTTGATGAAAAAATTTGTAACTCCTTAAAAACATTTAGACCAAACTTTAAACTAATAAAACAATCATATCATTTTATCTTGTACTAAATTGATCTAATTCAACTTTTGTAGCAAAATGATTCAAATTTTACAAATAATTAGTTTTTCATAAAATCAAGTAATTATATTAAAATTTTGCTATCATCATGTTATTGGATGGGGATAATCATTACTATATTAACAAAATTAAATTTTATGAACCAAAACTATTTGTGGTAATGATCCTAATCCAAAAACGGCCAAAAACATGAAAATCCTGCCAAATGATGATCCAACTCGTCGAGCCAGGCTATGGACTCGTTGAGTTCATGACCAAAATCATCCAAATCGTCGAGTCCAATAGTGGACTCGTCGAGTTCATGCTGACAGAAACAGTTTTTTCATTTTGCTTCAACTTTGAAAAATTAGCTATGCACGAATATAACAAAAAACTACCCATGACTCTGATACTACTTTTAGGTTTGGTAGACTATAACACTCCTATGGTGCACATACAATCCTAATAGCTTTAGATCTAAGTTTTCTCTAGTTATACATGCAACAAAAATTATCCAAAGCATAAAGCTTACAACTAGCATACAATTTGACATAAACAACATAAAAACTAGTTATAAGATTACTTCATTGTTGTAGCTTGTAGGAATTTGTCTTTCAAGAGCCTAGCACCTCAACTATGATGCGTCAAATGTATTATAACAAACCAAGAACAAGTGGATGAACTTGAGAGAGAAGTAAGAAGATATAAATTGTTTATGCTGATCTAAGACTCATAGGGGACTGATTTTAGCAAGCTAGGGTTTATATTTATAGTTTGGAATCCTTAATGTTTAAACTTGTAAACCTTAATTCACTTGGGCTTTTAATCCAATAACTTATTAGCCTTATGGACTAACTTTTCATGGATCCTCATAAAGATTTAGTCCATTTCTAATCAAAATGGATCATTAGCCCAAACTATAAATATTACCGATTTACCTAATCAGTCCTTGTAAATTTAATTAGTCTCTTTTGATCACTAAATTAATTCCAAATTAATTCTTGATGAATACTAATTAAATAATATGATTTCTAAATTAATATATTATACTTATAATATATTAATAAAATCACAAATAACGTTTTTCTCAAATATCCATCCTATCAAATTGTTCCAGCGTGTTACAACCCAAATGGACCATGTTATATTGGGTCAAGTACATACCAATTATAGTTATGGGCTTAAACAAATAATCCAACATTATGCACCTTCGATGGAAATTCCAAGTGCATTTTTAGACAAAGGTTATAGCCTAATATTACACACGCCTCATAACACCACCATACACCATCTTCTTCCACCACCATAAAACCACCCTTATACCTCCCTCTCTTGATCAAAACACCTTAAAATGCCTTTCCCACCCTTCCTTTTGCTTTCCCTTACCAGAGGCTGCCAAGAAGAAGGAAAAATCGAGTTGTAGCCACCTTGCTTGCCACCACCCACCACCCACTGCCACCACCTTTAAAACTCGTTTTCTGGCAAGAATACTGTTGAGGGACCACTACGGAGAGCTTCCTTCACCCCATCCCTCTTTCCTTTCATCTTCAATAGGAAGTAGCAGAAACTGGAAGTAGGAGGTTTCCGGTCTCCACCCATCGACCATCCTTATGATGCTACTTCTTTCTTCATATGTCATCCCACCATCATCACTCCTTTTATCATGTATTGAAGACGATTGAAATCATCGAAGTAAACCAATCGCTTCATCTTTTTTCTTGTTCAAGGAGATGACGAACATAGAAGGTTATAGCTCCTGTATAACTTAACTTCACTATACAAACATTGATTTTTTTTAATTAAAATAAACAACAAACTTCCTAACTTCTACGGCATTGGCCCCTTCCTTTAAAAAATTCTTAAAAATCTGGTACAAAGTTTGTTTAAATGTGACAATTTCTACCCCATTTCGAAAAACCCTTATAAGCTAAACCACAAACCTTCAAATGCCAATTAAATTATTTAAAACCTACCGAATATGTTTTTCCAACATAAATCCTATACTACAAGTTATTTTTTGGAAAATATTAATTTATTTTGGCTTAGATAAAATTTATTTAAATAAAAGTTTTGATTGAATAAATTTTGATATAAATAAAATTTTGCATTAAATAAGTTTTGATTTAAATATATTTTGGACTAACTAAACTTTTGGAAATTATTAAATATTTCCTATACTTAGTTGAAATACCAAATACCTTTCCCAATATTAATTTATATTGAAATTTTCTAGGGAAATAAATTAAGCCTGAAATTTCGAACTCATGACAACACGTCCTGGATTCTCGCATCCAATACTCGAAACAACTCGATAAACGCACGTTAAGGTGAGTGTCACAACCCCTCTTTCTATATTTTTACATGTTTTGGGGAAGAGTTCACGTGCAATATGATATGAATTTATACAAAATACATATAAAATACTATTATTTTATGTGAATACTATACTAATTATGAAGTTATTGCATGACATTATACTAGTTGCCAATGTTTTTGGTCTGTTGGATATTACAACTTTCTAAATAACTTATGCCTAGTTAATACATAATCTATAAAAGGAAATATACTTAAATGTATACCAATCATACGTTTATAAACTCTATACAAATTCTTTATGCCTAATAACTTATCCACTTATAAGTTAGGCATATCGGTTTTTCAACTACCATAGTTAAGGCCTTTGTAGTGAGATTATATTCATTAGCTAATTCTAATCACTTAGTATACACAAACTACTATAACCGTTAATCTTCGGAGCAAGATACATCTATATAGATCTATACAAGATTGACATCCCACCTGTGATTTCTAGCTACAGTCTCGATCGATCAATCAAAGTAGGTGATAAATGTCTATTATCGGTATTGCAATGTCCAATGAAGCATTGTAGGGGGTACATTCAGTCACATAGCTTAGTTATAGGATTTACTATAAAAATTAACTAAAAACTCTCGTTTTCTACAAACCATGGATTTGGTTGTTTTCAAACTATTTGTAAGTATGGTTATACTTACAAAGATAATACTTTTTAGAATTTTTAAAAGTATTTTACTGTCGTTTGTAGAAAATTTATAACTCTCACCCACCTTGTGTTGACTTTCAAATTACATGTATTCTTAGGGAATCAATGATTTCAAGCATACTCAGACATTAGAAAATCATGGATTGCAAGCAATTTAAATTTTGTTGTTTTTGTAATGTTAAGCTAAACTATTATGTTAATTCATATTATCTGTAATATCCCTGCATTCAAAATAGATATGGAATACAAATGTTGTTTTATTTAATGTTGTACTTGTGCTATATATTTAGTTTATATGTGATCCATGAACTTAATCGCACACCCGAAATGTTCCTCTGCCTCGGTCGGGGTGTAACACTAGTGGTCACACCGAATTGAGTCTGATTAATCTACGAAGTACAATCGACGTAGCATCTGACTTTAGATTGAAGGAAAAGATAATCAAAGTGACTAGTAGAGGTATCACGTTCACTATTAAGATCACGTTCACTATTAAGATCAAAGAGCCATTAGCTAGAAGTGTTACATGATAGAATGTCATTATATTACACTAGAACATGAAGGAAGATATCCTCCGTGTAGGAGCCTGACTTAAAGCAACCTGAGTCTTTCTGTTGCATCATTCAATAAGAAGTCATTAGAACATGACCCACCGGCCTGTTGCGATAGTCAAAGTAAAAAGACCTTATCATAACTCAAGTCAGTTTTAAGAACGGACAAGAGCCCCCGATAGTGATCAAAATAAGAAGGAAGAGCAAGAACGGGATTGAGTACTGTTAACAGTCAAGAAGTCTATGAGTGGAAACTCAACAAAAAAGATATAAGAGATACAGTTATTGTATAGGATAAAAAGGTAACGTGCAGAGTCATTATACAACTCTTGTTTTGTTGCTGATTTTGGGACGTAATAATCCTAATGGGAGATAATTCAAACGCCTGCAGAATCAGGTTAGCCATTTAAGATATAATATAAAAATACTATTAAGAAAAATAGGAAAAATCAACCGAATGGTCCATAAATCGTAAAAATAAATGCGCCGAAGCATATATATATATATTGAAATTATATATCGACGTGATACCGAAAATATAAATTTCATAGACATCCGAGTTCATATGAAGGATATATAAATTTTATAAGATATAAAGATCAACTGCATAATTAAAACTTATTAACATCAAAAGATATCTCTGTAAGTTAAGCTACACTCTCATTCTTTTAGTATAACTTGTATTTATAGTCATAGTCATTATTATGAACATATGAATAATATTTATTAGTAATTCACATTATAATACTGATCGATCTACTTACTGGAGAGGTGTCTAGAATGGCCATGTTGTCTTGATTGTTGGATTTCAAAAAGGCTATATGTTGAAATGATCCTGCCTCACAATTGTCCTGCCTGGCTAATCCTTACTTGATAGATCTTGATGTAGACATTGAGATTAATGAGGAATCTAGACTATAACTATTATAGTCGTTGGGATTATGAAACTAGACTAAGATTTAGTGTTATACATTTAGGTCATTGAAAGTGCTAAGGCAAGGTTATACCGAAATTCCAAGGCATCCATTCTTATCAAGTGAGTGCATAGTTACCTTCATCTTAAACATAGATAGGAAGTGTATATATATATATATATATATATATATATATATATATATACTAGCTTTATGTGCTTATTATCTTTTTCGAAAATGTTGTGTTAGATAAAATAATATGAGATGATATTTTAATTGAGTTAATCATACAAGTATTATACACTTATAAATATGTATTGGGTAGTGATAGGGGGTGGTAGATAGGAGATGATAGATAAGTGATGGTAGATAGTGACCACTAACTAATATAAACAAGTGATGATAAATAAGAGATGATAAATAAGAGATGACTATGATATGCTCTGACCTTGACTTGAGACGTTGCGATGTAGTCTTCTACCAAAGTATAGATAGTGACCACTAACTAATATAAACAAGTCATGTTGAAAAAATGGCAAGTACATAACATGTATGTGATGAATTATGAGTTCAGGAAATTTAGTAACTATGTATTCATGGGATGATACTCAAATCCTTACTAGACATATATTGGGGGACTAATCCCTGAGTAGTATTGTCTATGCTATGTCAATGATGATCCATAGGAAAAGTCCTTAGCAACAAACATATAAGGAAATGTGATGTAGGCGATGATATGTAAATGCGATGTAGGTGATGACCCTTAGGATAAATCCTTAAGGAAGATTAAATCATAAGATGAGTATGGATAATTGGTTAATTTTTTGATAAGTAAATATATTAACTATATTATTGTGGGTTGAAAAACCTATGTACTACCAGGTTTCCAACCAGACCCGCTTAGTTATTGGTATCACATGTATTGATGCGATGATACATTACACTAAGAGATTAAAGGAGATGTAGATCATTAGTATAGATTAATGTAAGGTCTGTTTATGCTTATTTTTTGTATCATTTATGACATCCCAAGTTTTTAAAATATATCAACATATAACATTTCTTCATAAATGTTTAATGTTAATATTATCTCACATTGAAATATTTTGTTTTAAAATAAGCAAAAATAATATTTTTAAATGAATGTAAAGTTATGGATGCCACATCATCTCCTTGAGAACTCTTTAGAACTAAACCAACTCCTAAGCCTTGTTTTCTTGTTGCTCTATCGGTGTATGGCATCCACGTTTTTTTTTTAATTTTATGCCTTACTGGAAGGATTTGTGGCATTGTAAATATGGGGTGTGATGTTGGTAGTTTATGATATTTTCGAAAAAACAGTTTTGGGGGTTTATCCCTTGATGATCAGTTGCTGGTGATATTCAATATCATGCTCCCTAGCTTTATAACCCATTTTGGTAATCATTCGGATTTCTCCATCTTGATCAGGATTTGTTTGATGATTTGGCTTGTTATTACCTCGATGCAATGAGCTTGGATGTATTGTCTTAGTTGTCTAGAGGCATAGATGAGTGCTAACACAATTTTCTTAAGTTTGGGGTATTGTACTTTAGGTCCCTACAATCCTCTACTATCAAAATAGATTAATAGTTATTTTTTTATGCTTGATTGTTAATATTGTTGATATTACTTCTATAGATGTTGAGAGATACATTGAGAGGGTTTAGCATGATAGGGGGTTGGCCAATATAGGTAATTAGTGCAAGGCTTCTTTTAGATGGAGTATGGCTTCACATGGAATCCATTTAAATTTATTATTGTCGATACATCCCTTCAATGATTGAAATTAAAAGAAAAGCCTTTTCGCCAATCTTTGGCGATAAAACTCCCAAGCGATGTGAGCATTCCGTTGAGACCATGTATATCACTATAATTATAGGGAGTTTGGTCCTTGATAGGTCTTTTATCTTATAGGGTGTTTGTCAGTGCTTATTTACAAGGATAACACTTTTTAACTTATTAGCTTATTAGCTTATTGTGGTATGGAAATTTTTTTTTTAAATGTTTGGATTAGCTTATGAGGTGTCAAAATGCTATAACTTCATAAGAACTATTTATTGTTTAGAAAA